TATTATTCCTGCGGCCTTCGTTTCCCCTCCCTCTCTTGTTTGCTGCTGTTCTCGTATGTGTTCTTGGGTGTGAAGAGAGTTTGTGCCAGGACTCCGCTCTCGCAGCCTCTGGCTGAAGACCAGGTGGATATCATCATGAATTTGCACATGCAGCGGAGGCGCTCGTCAAGGAATGTGCCTAGGAGGCTTCAAGACCGTTGAGGATTCCTTATCCGATGAGGGCGGGGTGATATCCAATGCCAAGCCTCAAATGATGCTCTACCAGGTTTTCAGGCCCTGTGTGCCTAACCCAATAGCTCTTTTTCCAATGCCCTCACGGTGCTTCTCACGCTATGGCTATCCGGATTGTGCACTGTGCAATCTCGGGCCCTTACATGCGTGCGCCAGAAACATTGCGCGACTCGGTATATTGATCGGCGCCATGTTTTGCATGGTCATTTCTCTATCAGGCATTTGTTCGCACCTTGCGTGTTCTTGCCGTTTTCTGGCGCTTGTCCCTCGTTGGGGGAGGGAGACGTGGATGATAATGGGGAGGGGGGGGGGGGGGAACAGGAGGATATGTGATCATAGGGGGAGAGCCATATTTGGCATCGCTTGTCTTCCATAATGGCGCTGGGCAGATTGTCTAGACGCGGCGCCTATCTGCCATAATGGTGCCTGTCTTTCAGAATGTCTTCCTCACGGTCCTCGTCCCATTTCATCCTCCTGTCAGCTTCTTGCGGATGTGTCTCTGCCACGAGACTTGAGCCGGTTTGTCCAATTATTTGTGTTTTTCTCTCTCTCTCTCTCTCTCTCTTTTCCTCTCTCTCTCTCTCTATCTATATATCGATCCTTCTTTGGTTCTTTCTCTCTCTCTCTCTCTCTCTCGCTCTCTTTCTCCCAGGCGCTCCGCGCCGCCTACACCCTTGGTCGACCGACCAGGTCGGTGTGTTTGTCAGGCGGACGCGTCTCTGCTACGAGACCTTGACGGTGCCTTTTTTTCGTTTTTCTCATTTAAGGCGCATACAGTCGTTCCGACTTGGGCGACCGACCAGACCAGCGTGCTCCGTGCGGATACGTCTCGCCCTCCTCGTCTTTCGTCCTGGTGCTCGGCGTCGTCCGCCGCCTCGTCGTCCTCGTCGTCGGAGTCCCCGCGATCGGCGCCTCCTCCTCGGGCCGGTGGCGTCCTCCTCCTCCTCCTCCTCCTCCTCCTCCTCGCGGGCGGGGGAGGAGACGTCTACCCGTGGCGCGGGCCTGCCCGCGGGCGATGCGTGCCGGAGGTGGCGCGGCTCGAAGAGGCAAACACTACATGGACATAGATTTTGGGAGCTCCGCGCGGGTTTCTCCAATCGGCGCTGGAGCTTCCCGGCGGCGCCTCCGACGCCGCCCCTGGCGCGCGCTCCGCGCGCCTGGGGCGGGGGGCCCAGTGCCAGTCCAACAGATCCGCCAGGAGCTCCGAAAGCTAACATGTTTTTTTTCAAGTTTCTCTCTCCACGGGTGATGACGGCGGGGAGCACGCGCAGCATCAACGACGCGCCGGCGTGGGGACCTGTCAGCGTGTTACTGTCGGGCAAACGCAAGACTCGAGTAAGCCGGAACTCGGGTTTGCCGCAGTTTTTTGACGAGCGCGTCCTGTATTTTGACGGTCCAGTTTACGTGGGATGTCCGCAGCGGGAGCCCGAAAGTTAACATGTTTTTTGTCCAGTATCTCTTTCCACTGGCGATGACGGCGGGGAGCACAAGCAGTATCCACGACGCGCCGGCGTGGGGAACTATCAGCGTGGTACTGCTGCAGAAGCACCAGGCCTTCGGGCCCAACGAACCCAGACATCCGCCGATCTGATTTTTGGAATCCGCGGCCCCAGAGGTCCCGACCCCTTCCCTGGGGGTGTTTTTTCGTCCCCGGGTCAATGTTTGATGGTCCCCGGGCCCGAGGACGGGCCCCGGAGGCCGAAATCCACGAAAAGCCGGCAGATTGAAAATATCACATGTCCTCGGATCTCTGGGAAGGAGTAACACGCCGACTGGCTTCCAACGGCGGTGTGTGACTGATACTGTTTTCCCCTCCCGCCAGCAGGTTTGCGGTGGCCGCCGGGGGCTCCGGGGACAGCCTCGCGTATTGCCCGCGACCCCAGACCTCCAACGCCTCGAGAAGCTCAACTCTGAGGTTTGGCTCAAGTTTCTGCCTCTGTCGGAGGTTGATAATTAGACCTCCTACCCTGACACGCCGATTAGCGAATTGGCCGTTTTCGGTTCGCGAGAGGGCGTCGCGGCCGTCGTTTTTGCGGGTCCAGGTCTGTCGGTTTCGGTCCTGGGCCGTTTTCACTGAAGGATGGTTTACTCAAGGGAGGTTTGTCCACCGCCGACTCTGGGGGCCCTCGCCAGGGACCCCAGGGCTGTCAAAGAACGACTCGGGGTGAGGGGCTGCCCCTGGGAAAGGGGTCGAGGCTTCTGCCTGGCATCGCTCGGACGTGTGAATTTTTTCTCGGCGAGGGCCATCGAGGAGCATCCTTGATCATTCGGCGAAAAAACCACGCACGAAACCGAAAAAAGCACAGGGAATTGACGTCCGAGCGATGGCCAGTCTGGGGCTTCTGGGCCCCTGGGAAAGGCGTCGGGGAAACCCACGACTCACGGCGTCGGATGTTGGGGGTGGGGGGGCGGCCTTCCCCGAGGTCCGGGCGTTGCACTTTCTTTCGCAGCGGGCGTGTTCGTGTCCGGGCCCCGGGACAATCACTGATCGATCCAGCGGCCTTCCCTCGGGCGATTGCAAATATGGATCATGGGGGCGTGGATTAGCGACGGGTCCCGTTGCCGTTGGAAATCGCGGGTTCCCGCCGCCGAGCGAGGCGGCAGTGGCCGCATTTTGGGGAGGGCACCTGCTCCGATCTATGGATTTGGCGACCGCGCGCCAAATCCATGGATCGCTAATCCATGTTTGCGCGCCCCCGAGTCCCTGAGATCTGGGCGTTGCATTTTGTCACAGCGGTCGTTCTCGCCCGCTTCCGGGCCCTGGTGCCTTCACGTAATTATCGACCCAGCTCGAACAAAGACGCGGTACGATGGGGCCCAGGGCTCTGGTCGCGATCTGTCGCGATGCTGCACGCTCTGCGTTCCCCTCTGGCGATGACCAGCGGCACTGGAGGGAGGTCGGGGAGGCAGCTGGCAGAACGCCAGGGTCTGCTCGGACGGTGCGGGTGCGAAAGCGTGGCGTTGACGCGAGTGGTTCGGACGGCGCGGGCTCCACGAGGTGGGGTGGCGCACGCTGCCGGGCGCGCCCGCTGGGGCGCCGGCTCCTGGGCCTCCTCCTCCTGTGTGGGAGGGGCCTTGGCGGCCACGGCCGGACACGGGTCGGAAGACCGCGTCGGGCCATCCTGGGGCTCCTCTCCTCCTCCTCCTCCTCCTCCTCCTCCTCCTCCTCCTCCTCCTCCTCGCCCTCCCCTTCCCTCCTCCTCCTCCTCCTTCTCCTGCTCCTCCTCCTTCTCCTCCTCCTCCTCCGCCTCCTCCTGGGGGGAGGGTCAGGAGCTGGGGCGGCGCGAGGAAGGGGCAGTCCTCCAGCGGGCAGCGGGCGTCTCATGAGGCTTCGAGGTGGGGGGACTTCCTCGACGGCGGGATGGCCTCCAAGACGCCGGGCGTGGCTCGATCGTGTGTGGGAGCGGTTTTGAGGGGGGGGCAGGGAGCGAATGGTGCAGCGAGGTGAGGGGTGGCCATCTAGGGCAGAGGACCGGTTCGCCAGAGGACCGGTTCGCCGAAGACCGGTTCGCCAGAGGACCGGTTCGCCAGATGACCACTTCCTCGAGGCTTGGTTTGCCAGAGAACCGGGTTTGGCCCGGTTCGCCAGGCCCAGTTCCCCAGGCCCGGTTCCTCAGGCCCGCTCCGCCAAATTAGCAGCGGGACGGTGGATGGTGATGATGATGATGATGATGATGATGATGATGATGATGATGATGATGATGATGATGATGATGATGATGATGATGATGATGATGATGATGATGATGATGATGATGATGATGATGATGATGATGATGATGATGATGATGATGATGATGATGATGATGATGATGATGATGATGATGATGCTGATGATGATGATGATGATGATGATGATGATGATGATGATGATGATGATGATGATGAGGAGGAGGAGGAGGAGGAGGAGGAGGAGGAGGAGGAGGAGGAGGAGAAGACGCAGGAGGAGAAGGAGGAGGAGGAGGAGAGGAGGAGCAGGAGCAGGTTCCGTAGCCATTTTGGCTCAAGCCGTCCGCGCGCGCGCACCTTGGCTCGAGCGTGCTTCGCGCATTGTTCCTGCCCCTGGGTCGCTGCACGGGCTTGTCCTGGCGCGGGAGGGCATGGGAGATGCATGCCTAGTTCCGACACGTCGTAATTCTTTACGCTTCGCGTATCCCCACCAGCCCATCTCACAACAGCAACTCTTGCGAAGCATGCCGACAGTCGTGTTTTTCAGGCGTGTGTCCGCTTGGCCCCGCATATCTCCCCTGTTACTCCTTCCTCCCGCCTCCTTGTACATCCTCCTTGTGGGGGGAGCGGGAGAAGGACGAGGCGGAGGAGGAGGGAGAGAAAGCGCTCCTCGTGGTTTGAGTCGTTTGGGGTTTCTCGTCCTGGTGTGAGTCGTTCGGGCCCTTCTTCCTGGTGTGAGTCGTTCGGGCTCTTCGTGGTGTGAGTCGTTCGGGCTCTTCGTCCTGGTGTGAGTCGTTCGGGCTTCTCGTGGTGTGAGTTGTTCGGGCCCCTCGTCCTGGTGTGAGTCGTTCGGGCCCCTCCTCCTGGTGTGACTCGTTCGGGCTCCTCGTGGTGTGAGTCGTTCGGGGCCCTCGTCGTGGTGTGAGTCGTTCGGGCTCCTCGTGGTGTGAGTCGTTCGGGCGCCTCGTCCTGGTGTGAGTCGTTCGGGCCCCTCCTTCTGGTGTGAGTCGTTCGGGCTCTTCGTGGTGTGAGTCGTTCGGGCCCCTCGTCCTGGTGTGAGTCGTTCGGGCTCCTCGTGGCGTGAGGCGTTCGGGCACCTCGTCCCCTTTTGGGGCGTCTTGGGGGCCTTTTGGCGGCCCCAGGGGCTTCTAGGAGCGTCTTGGGTGCCTTGGGGGAGCCTCTTCGGGCCTCTTGGGAGCCTCTTGGAGGCCGTTTGGGGCGTCTTGGGGGCCTCTTGGCGGCCCCAGGGGCTTCCAGGAGCCTCGGGGGAGCCTCTTGGGGCCTCTTGGGGGCCTCTTGGGGGCATCTTGGGGGCCTCTTGGAGGCCTCTTGGGGGCCTCCTGGGGGCCTCTTGGGGCCATCTTGATGCCTCTTGGTGCCTCCTGGGCGCTTCTTGGGGCCATCTTGGAGGGAATGGATCAAAGAAGAGGGGAGCTTTAGTTAGCGCTGCCCCCTCAGAAGGGCAAAATGGGGCCAAAACCTTTGTAAAATCAATGATTTTGCCTTGAAGGAGGAGGGAAACTTTAATGAGCGCTGCCCCCTCAGAAGGCCAAAATGGGGCCAAAACCGTAGCAAAATCAATGATTTTGGCTTCACAGAAGATGAGAGGGTTTTTTCTTCCCCCCCCCGTCGGGGCCAGAATCCTCGTGAGGGTCGTCGTTTTTTAGCCCTCCCAGGAGTCGAAAATGACCCCCCCAACGACCCGCGGAGGGACCTCTCCAGGCCCAGGGGGAGGGGGTAGGGGGAGGGGTAAACCCCTCCCCGAAGGGGAAGAAGGGGGTTGAGGACAGAGCGGGCTCTCTAAACCACTCACGCCCTAAAAGATCTGGTGGGACTACTGCTGCTGAGCGTTGCGCTCGCCGGGAATTGGCCCGCCTTTCGCCGGATCGGGCAGTTCATCGTCTTTCCGAGGAGTTGCACCAGCTCCAGACTAAGTATGACGGGCCTCTCCAGTCTGTAGAGGCCTTTTTCGGCGACCCGGCTCTCGCAGGTCGAGTTCTTGCGGAGGTTCCCGCTCTCGTGGACCTTCTGCATGGACGTTTTCCTGAGCATTCAGTGGTTCTCTGCCGCAACGTAGCCATATGAATGCTTGGGCCCCCCCTGGGCTATGGATTTCAGCTGCGTCGAACAAGGAGGAAACTGCAAAAAGGTGCAAGGCTTCCAAGACAGTCAGTCGCCTTTGGGTCCCAACGCTACCACTTTCGCTCCGCAGGCGGCAGGTGACCCGTTAGTGGAGCAGCGGGGCAGGCTTGTGAGCTGGGAGCCTTGCGATGCGGCGTCGCTTCCGACACAGTTTTCTGGTGTCGTGCGGCCAGGCGCAGGCGGCGAGGCCTCCGGTATGTCTAGGGCACAGCATGGCCCCCACCCCGTTGCAGGGGATAGAAAGGCACGCGATTGTAGTGGAGCGGTGCATATTCACAGGAGTTTACGTGCCAGGGCACGGAAGTGGCGGGTGCGGCCCCTTCGATGCCTGGCCTTTCTGTGGCGGCCGTCGAGGTGGAGTCGGACGTCTTGCAGGAGATTCTCAAAGCTAGCCAGCGGAGGTCCTGCGCGGGGGGGTACGGGTTGCTTTGGGAGGAGGCCAGCGACTTTGACAATGGAGGCGCGTCGTGCCTTGCACCAGGGTGTTCGATGTATGCGGGCATTCTCGTGTCTGGCTGTAAGCTTTTCTTTTGTGGCGAGGCGAACTGCGAAGACATGTTTTGCGATAGTTGTATTCAAGTGTTGCTGCGACGGCCAGACCTCCAGCATGATCAGACGTTTACCTATCATTGGGCTGAAGATGATTCAGTTTCTTAGGGGCCTCCTATGCTTGCGGCGGAGTTGGCAGGACACGCTACGGTGTGCGGTGGCATACGTATTTGGGTTCAGGATTTCGTTCGTGGAGCAGTTTGCGGCCTTTGTCGAGCTTCTCTGCCAGTCTTCGGCGTTGCTGGACTGATTAAACAGGGGCTCCGCAATGTGGATCTTGCCCTTAAGCTAGGTAAGAGGTAAGAGGAGCAGGAGGAGGAGGAGGAGGAAGAGGAGGAGGAGGAGGGGAAGGAGGAGGAGGATAGGAGGAGGAGGAGGAGGAGGAAGAAGAAGAAGAGGGTGAGGAGGACGACGACGTGGAGGACGAGGACGAGGAGAAGAAGGAGTAAAGGGCGCGTGGACGTGCAGGGGGAGTGGTGGTCGTCATCGTCGTCGTCGTCGTCGTCGTCGTCGCCATGGTCGTCGTCGTTGTCGTCGTCGTCGTTGTCGTCATTGTCGCCCTTGTCGGCGTTGGCGCCCTTGTCGTCGCCTTCGTCGCTGTCGTCGGCGTCGCCGTCGTCGTCGTCGCCGTCGTCGTTGCCGCCCTCGTCGTCGTCGTCGTCGTCGTCGTCGTCGTCGTCGTCGTCGTTGCCTTCGTCGTCGCCGCCGTCGTCGTCGTCATCGTCGTCATCGTCGTCGTCGTCGCCGTCGTCGTCGATGTTGTCGTCGTCGTTGTCGTCGTCGTCGTTGTCTTCGTCTTCGTCGTCGTCGTCGTCGCCGTTGCCGTCGCCGCCGCCGTCGTGGTTGTGTCGTCGTCGTCGCCACCGCCGTCGTCGTTGTCGTCGTAGTCGTCGTCGTCGTCGTCTTCGCCGTCGCCGCGTGGTCCGCCGCCCGCCCGCCCGCTAGGGCCCCGCCCGAGGCCTGACCCGGTCGCCCGTCAGGGTCCGCCCGCCCGATCCCGACCCGCCCGTTAGGGCTTGCGCGTGATATTTCGATGACGCCATATTTTAATGTCCCGCCTGCCCGACCCGCCGCCCGCCCGCCCGTTAGGGCCCGCCCGCCGCCCGACCCGACACGCCCGTTAGGGTCCGCCCGCCCGACCCGACCCGCCCGTTGGAGTACGCGTGTGTTACGTACCCCAGTTACGCGTCACACTTTAGTGTCCCGCCCGCCCGACCCGCCGCCCGGCCGCCCGCCTGTCAGGGTCCGCCCGCCCGACCCGTTTGCCCGTTTGGGTCTGCCCGCCCGACCCGACCCGTCTGTTATTGCACGCGTGTGTTAGTTCGATGATGCGTCATAGTCTAATTTCCCGCCCGCCCGATCGCCCGCCCGCCCGTTCGTTAGGGTCCGCACGCCGCCTGACCCGCCTGCCCGATCCGACCCGCCCGTAAGGGTGTGCGTGTGAAGTTCAAATTACGCGTCATAATTTAATGTCCCGCCCGCCGGACCCGCCGCCCGCCCGTTAGGGTCCTCCAGCCCGACCCGCCCGCTTGTGGGAATCCGCCCGCCCGACCCGACCTGCTCGGCAGAGTGTGCGTGTGATATTCCGATTACGCGTCATAGTTGAATGCCCCGCCCGCCCGACCCGCCGCCCGCCCGTAAGGGTACGCTTGTGTTGTGAGCGGCCAACTGGACGCCCACCAGTCCACCCGCCCGCCCGCCCGCCCACACCCCCGCCCGCCGCCGCCGCCGCCGTCGTCGTCGTCTTCGTCGTCGTCGCCGCCGTCGTCGTCGTCGTCGTCGTCGTCGTCGTCGTCGTCGCCGTCGTCGTCGTCGTCGTCGTCGTCCTCGTCGTTGTCGTCGTCGTCGTTGTCGTCGTCGTCGTCGTCGTTCGCGTCGCCGTCGTCGACGTAATGGTCGTCGTCGTCGCCGTCGTCGTTGTCCGCGTCGTCGTCGTCGACGTAATGGTCGTCGTCGTCATCGTCGTCGTCGTCATCGTCGTCGGCGTCGTCGTCGGCGTCGTTGTCGATATTGTTCTCGTTGTCGCCCGTGTCGTCGTCATGTTCGTCATCGTCGTCGTCATCGTCCCGCCCGCCCGCCCGTTAGGGTCCGCCCGACCCGCCCGCCCGTTAAGGCTCGCCCAGCGCGATTCGCCTGTTAGGGTACGCGCGTGCTACTTCGATCATGCGTCATACCTTAGCGTCCCGCCCTCCCGATCCGCCGCCGGCCCGCCCGTTAAGGTCCGCCCGCCGCCCGGCCCGCCCGCCCGCTAGGGTCCGCCCGCCCGACCCGACCCGCCCGTCGGGGTGCGCGCGTGATACTTCGATTACGCGTCATAATTTAATGTCCCGCCCGCCCGGTCCGCCCGCCCGACCCGCCCGCCCGCCCGTTAGCGTTCGCCCGCCCGCCCGATCCGCCCATTAGGGTACGCGCGTGTTGGTGCCATGATGCGCCATATTTTCATGTCCCGCCCGCCCGATCCGCCGCCCGCCCGCCCGTTAGGGTCCGCCCGCCGGACCTGACTCGCCCGCTGGGGTGTGCGTGTGATACTTCGATTACGTACGCGTCATGCTTTCATGTCTTGCCCGTTCGACCCGCCGTCCGCCCTTTCGGGTCCCGTCGTCGTCGTCGGCGTCGTCGTCCCCGTCGTCGTCGTCGTCCCTGTCGTCGTCGTCGTTGCCATCGTTGCCGCCCTCGTCGTCGCCGGCGTCGGTGCCGTTGTCGCTTCGGCTGTGTCGTCGTCGTTGTCGACGTAGTGGTCGTCGGCGTTGTTGTCGTCGTCGTCGTCGCCGTCGTTGTCGCCAATGTCGTCGTCGCCGTCGTCGTCGTCGTCGTCGTCGTCGACGACGTCCTCGACGTCATCGTTCTCGTCGTCGTTTTCGTCGTCGTCATCGTTGTCGTCGTCGTCAACGTCGGCGTTGGGTCCTCGTCGTCGTCGCTCTTGTCGCCCTTGTCGTCGTTGTCGCCCTTGCAGTCGTCGTCGTCGTCGTCATCGTTGCCGTTGTTGCCTTCGATGTCGTCGGCGTCGGCGTCATCGTCGTTTCGTCTTCGTAGTCTTCGTTGTCGACGTAATTGTCGGCGTCGTCGTCGCCGTCGTCGTCGTTTCGACTCAATGGTCGTCGGCGTCGTTGCCGTCGTCGTCGGTGCCGTCGTTGCCGCCCTCGTCGTCGTCGTCGTCGTCGTCCTCGACCCTCGACGTCCTCGACCCTCGACGTCATCGTCGTCGTCGTCGTCGTCGTCGTCGTCGTCGTCGCCGACTGGTCCGCCGCCCTCCCGCCCGCCCGCCCGTCAGGGTCCCGCCCGCCGCTGGGCCCGCCCCCCCGGCGAACAGGGACTCATGCGAACGGGGACCGGCGAACAGGGACTCCAGCGAGTTAACGAGGACCGGCGAACGGCGACCGGCGAACAGGGACAGGCGAACAGGGACCGGTGAACGGGGATCAGCGAAAGGGGGGTGGCGAACGGGGACTCTGGCGAACGGGGCCCCAGCGGACGGGGACCTGGCGAACGGGGACTCCGGCGAACGGGGACCAGCGAACAGGGACTGGCGAACAGGGATTTTGGCGAACAGGTCCTGTATCTCTAGGAGGGTATGGGGCTTGGAATGCATTCTTTCCCCATCACGTGAGCATCTTGAAACACGGCCGCACGTTTTGGGTGGTGCAGACAGGTTGGGAATCAATCGCGAGTTCTAGTTAAGAGGGGCTCGGAGCAGCGTGTATGATGGTTCTCCCTCGGCCATTTCCACCGTTCCCCACCAGCTCAGCCCCACCCTCCTACGTACCCCTCCCCTCACCCGATCACCCCCAAGAGATAACAAGTATAAATCTCGGTAAAGGGGGATTGTGGGGACGGGGTGGGTATCAGCGCACCGACACACCCACGCACCCACGCACCCACGCACACATTACACCGTGGGTGGATGCCTCCAGGCGCTCTCAATTCTCAGATTCTCAGCAACAACTATTCGAAAACACTCATCGAAGGCGTGACGGCGAGCATTCGTGGGTGGGTGGCCAGGCGGGTGGGGGGTGTTATAGTTCCCATTGGGGGGCGGCGCACCCCGCTCGGCTTGGGGCCGAGCCCGCAGACGGGATCAGCTCTCCCTTTCCCAACAAGTGAGAGTTGTCTGCCTACCTGTTTCTGGAGGGTGGTGTCGTGATCCGTGCGGCACTTATGGAACATTCCATTGTATGTCAGGGAAGGTGTTGTTATATCTTCCTTGGAACGGGATAGCATGAAGGCAATACATTCACAACGTGTTGATGGATTATCGGTTTCCATTTTAGATGTCCGTATAACGCCTGGAAACTTAATTGTTTGTGACAGCCGCGTTGGTTTTCGAGCACATCGTGGCACCGAGAAGCATGTTCGCCGGTGGCCCTTGCCTGATGGGAAAGTATGTTTGGTCAACGTGTTCGGCGGTTTGATGTTCTGGTGCATGGTTTTTGTGTGAAGCTGGGCCGTTCACAGTGGAAAGTGTCACCGCTAATCTGTCAATCTCACAGCAGTCCTTCCTTGTCATCGCCTAGGATTGCCTACTCCGTCTCGCCGTGTTCCAGTTTTGCTCAAGCAATTTTGCACTGATATCGGAGGCAGTATGGCGATACATCTTGCCCTCATATTTGCTGTTCTTGCTTGCGGAACGGCCACTCATCTTCCGGATGGTGTTTCGGAGGAGTTCAAGCAGTGGGCCAAGGTTTATGAGAAAGAGTACGAAACTGAAGATGAGGGCCTACGACGTTTCGGTATCTTTTCGGCAAACCGCAATTTCGTGAATGCACACAACATCCAGGCAGCCGCTGGTGTCCACACATTCACAACAAAGCTGAACGCATTTGCTGACATGACCGTGGAGGAATACCGCCAGACTATGCTGGGACTGCGCCCAGTCGCTCGCGAGGACACCACCGTCGCAAGTTTCCCTGGCACTTCATCGAAGGATGCTCCAGCGACTTGGGATTGGCGACAGAAGGGCGTAGTCACCCCGGTGAAGGATCAAGCTAACTGCGGGAGCTGCTGGGCTTTCTCTGCCGTGGCGGCTATGGAGGGAGCTTTCAACTTGCAGAGCAATGGCACGGTCCCGGCAGCTTGCTCGAAGTACACATGTGGCCCGAACAAGACACCTTGCTGCTCCTTCAGTGAGCAGGAGCTCGTGGATTGCGTCAATCTCGGCAAAGACAACTGTAAAGTTGGTGGCGAGATGCACGATGGGGTCATGGAAATCGTGAAGCAGATGAATGGCGTATTTGACACTGAGAATCAATATCCTTACACTAGCGGCGGTGGCACATCCGAGGGACAATGCCACGCCAAGGCTGGAGGTGTTCCGACTGGCATCAGTGGCTACACGCAGGTGGCCCGTGGTGACGAGAAGGCGCTCATGATGGCAGCTTGGAAGCAGCCAGTCCTTGCTATTGGTATCGATGCGTCCCAGCAGAGCTTCCAGTTCTACAACGAGGGCGTGTACGTCGAGCGGAAGTGCAAGAACAAAGTGGCTGAGCTTGATCATGGAGTGGCACTTGTGGGTTATGGAGTCTACACTGGCCCCTCGCCAGCCCCTGGCCCTCCTGGGCCGCCGCAGCCTGGCCCTGCCGATTGCGTCGACAACAGAGATGCTAAATCTTGTACATCGGAGACTGGTTGCCATTGGTGCCAGGATGTTCAGTTCTGCATGTCCTTCCCCTGTGATCAAGTGCCAACAGTCGCCGCACCTGCCAACACGACGGGCACTCCTTACTGGATTGTCAAGAACTCTTGGAATACCGACTGGGGAATGGACGGGTACATTTTGATGGCCAAAGACAAGGATAACCAGTGCGGTGTGTCTTCCGATGCTATCTTCGCCAACATCGGTTCGCAGGATGCTGTCTCATCCGTCCTAGTGGTCTAGTCCCCATTTAGTTCATGCGAGTGTCAAGTTCAGGCAGTCGGCGAATTTTGAGATGGGAGGCATGGGCCCCCATTCAGCCCTAGTGCATGCGAGTGTACAGGTTCCTGCTTCTCCCTTTCCCCCTTTTGGCCGTAGATGGGGCACAGCTGCCGATGCTATCAGAAAATGGGCTCGGCAATGATCAGGGGAATGGTCCAGACGAGGAGAGCAGGAGGGGACAGAGCGGAACGAGGAGGGCCCCTCCGAGGCACAGCACGTGCAAAGTTCGGGGACAAACGTCCACAACTGAGGGAAGCAGCCAGAGTCGAGGTCGATTTTGAGGCATTTGGGCGGCCGCTGGGGACTATATGCCTCCTCCTCCCTCCTTCGTCTCTCCTTCCTCCCTCCACCCCATCCTCCTCCTCCTCCTCCTCCTCCTCCTCCTCCTCCTCCTCCTCCTCCTCCTCCTCCTCGTCCTCTTCCTCTTCCCCTTCCTCGTCCTTTGGCCTTTGGGTTGGCCTCGGCAATCTGCCTTTGCTGCTCATGGTGAGACCGGCCCCGCTGCCGCACTCGGGCAGTGAAGACACGACGCGGTCCCTTTGGACGCTCTCCGGGCTGCACTCGGCGTTGTAAGGTGCCCTCAATTCCCTCCTTGCCCCACATCCTTCTTCGTCCCCCCCCCCCTCGCTCCCCATTTCTCCGTTACTCTGGGTTTCTTAATAAGCGTAAGTGTGCACCCCCCCGACGGGGGTCAACCTCGCCCCGTCGTCGCGCCGCGACGGCGGTCGTAGCGCCTTCAGCGCGCGGTGGCGGGGGTGACGCCCACCCTACTCTTATTAGGAAACTCGGAGTACCCTCTCTGACCCAAGCCCCCTAGCCGTCTCCCGCTCCATCCTCTTCGCCTCTTCTCTCCTCCCCACGCCCCCCCCATCCCCTTCAGCTTCCCTCGCCTCCGGTCGCCACCCTCGGCCTACCTGTCCACTCCGCTTCACAATTCTTTACGCTTCGCGTGTCCCCACCAGCCCATCTCACAGCAGCAACTCTCGCGAAGCATGCCGACAGTCGTGTTTTTCAGGCGTGTGTCCGCTTGGCCCCGCATATCTCCCCTGTTCCTCCTTCCTCCCGCCTCCTTGTACATCCTCCTTGTGGGGGGAGCGGGAGAAGGACGAGGCGGAGGAGGAGGGAGAGAAAGCGCTCCTCGTGATTTGAGTCGTTTGGGGTTTCTCGTCCTGGTGTGAGTCGTTCGGGCCCTTCTTCCTGGTGTGAGTCGTTCGGGCTCTTCGTGGTGTGAGTCGTTCGGGCTCTTCGTCCTGGTGTGAGTCGTTCGGGCTTCTCGTGGTGTGAGTTGTTCGGGCCCCTCATCCTGGTGTGAGTCGTTCGGGCCCCTCCTCCTGGTGTGACTCGTTCGGGCTCCTCGTGGTGTGAGTCGTTCGGGGCCCGCGTCGTGGTGTGAGTCCTTCGGGCTCCTCGTGGTGTGAGTCGTTCGGGCGCCTCGTCCTGGTGTGAGTCGTTCGGGCCCCTCCTTGTGGTGTGAGTCGTTCGGGCTCTTCGTGGTGTGAGTCGTTCGGGCCCCTCGTCCTGATGTGAGTCGTTCGGGCTCCTCGTGGGGCCTCTTGGGGGCCTCTTGGAGCCTCGTGGGGCCTCTTGGGGGCCTCTTGGGGGCCTCTTGGGGGCCTCTTGGGGCCTCGTGGGGCCTCTTGGGGGCCTCTTGGGGGCCTCTTGGGGGCCTCTTGGGGCCTCGTGGGGCCTCTTGGGGGCCTCTTGGGGGCCTCTTGGGGGCCTCTTGGGGCCGCTTGGGGGCCTCTGGGGGGCCTCTTGGAGGCCTCTTGGGAGCCTCCTGGGGGCCTCTTGGGGCCATCTTGGGGCCTCTTGCGACCTCCGCAGAAGCGCAAAGGAGAGCTGCCCCCTGAGAAGGACAAAATGAGCCCAAAACCTTCGTAAAATCAATGATTTTGCTATGAGGGAAGATGAGCGCGGCCCCCTCAGAAGGCCAAAATGGGGCCAAAACCGTAGTAAAATCAATGTTTTTGGCTTCAAAGACGAGCTGAGGCGCCAAACTGCCCCCCCCCCCTCGGGGCCAGAATCCTCGTGAGGGTCGTCGTTTTTTGGCCCTCCGAGGAGTCGAAATGGACCCCCTTGAGAACACCCCGGACTCCCTGTCCAGGCCCAGGGGGAGGGGGTAGGGGGAGGGGTAAACCCCTCCCCGAAGGGGAAGAAGGGGGGTTGGAGGGTTGAGAACAGAGAAAGCTCGCTAAACCACTCACGCCCAAAGGGCTGGTGGGATTACTCAATATGAATACTACTCTCCCTCTTCCCCTGATGACGGAATGGGAGTAGCCGACCCCCCCCCCCCCGCGTATTGTTGTTTTACACACAGGTTTCCCCGGAGTTGGGTTTTCGCCTGCATTTTTTCCAAAATGCTGCTCTCGCTGAGGCGCCGGCCTCATTTTCGGGCCCCGCTCGTTCCGAATCGTGCTCCCGCTGCAGCGTGGGTCTCATTTTCGGATCGGTGTTTTGCCTCCGTCGTTCAGGATGGCGTTCTCGCCCCAGCGCGGGCC